AGTTTCGAGTGATTTTCTATCAATTTTGTATTTCAACATTCTAAGTATATTAATTCTTTTATAAGCTTTTTCGTATATATAGTTTATGTGGTTAGACCAATTAGCCTTGCTGTTGAAAAACAAACCTAGGTGTTTATGATTAGAAACATTAATAATTGATGATTCAGCAAAATATAGGTTAGGATGCAGTGTCTCAGAGTTAAGCCGCCTCGAGAAGAGCAGGGCTACAGTTTTATCTGGATTAAAGATAATTCCCCATTTTCTAGCCCAGATTGAAATTTTCCTTAGATCATCATTTAATATATTAGCACATTCTTGTCTGTCTCTCTCAATGAGACCATATAAGGAGGTATCATCAGCAAATAGTTTGAAGTTTGGGGCCAATTCATCACCAATATCATTGATATATAGAAAAAACAAAAAAGGACCAAGGATTGAACCTTGGGGTACCCATGCCTGTAATGTTTTCCAATAAAACTTAAATCCATCTATGACCACTCTCTGATGCCTAACATGAAGGTATGATGTAAACCATTCTAACATATTATTACAAATACCATATTTTTTTAGTTTATAAATTAGACCGTCATGCCAAACTCTCAATTTCATCGTATATAATTAATAGCTGATACACTGTGGAATCCTTAGACAAAAAGCCTGACTGATTCTTAGAAATAATGTAATATCTTGAGAGGTAATTGAACATATACTTAAAAACATTTTTTTCAAGTAGCTTTCTAAATATAGGGGTAACAGATATTGGTCAGACTTTACTTTAACTCGATCTATATATTCACCAATAATTACACAACCAAAACCGGCACACGATGTAGAATGTAGACTTTACGTTAACTCGATCTATATAATCACCAATAATTAGACAACCAAAACCGGCACACAATGTAGACTTTACGTCGTTCACATATTGTATTCATTGTATATTATTATTATATTACATATCCATTTACCGACAATGCTGTGTCATAATCCATAGGAATATTCATTACGGGTGAGTATTTGATACAATGCCTATAACTACGAGTGACATATAACTACATACTTATTGTAGTTCCTGTTTATCATCAAATAACTATACAATGACGGAATAATACACTTACCAACAAAACAGACGAAGGCGATACACATGCTGGAAATCAATAAAGCTGAGGCCCGCCGAGATGGAAAGCAGCTTTTGTCCTTCATTATCCGTGAATATCTTAATTAATAATACAAATTCAAATCCTAAATGTAGCACATGGTATCTATACAGTTATAAATGTTGATATATACAAATTTAATAAATGGTATTTAGCATGTTTGTAGTTATTCGACGCTGACATATATATACATTCAATGTATTGATTGTTTATAGTGTATGGCATTTATGTACCTATACATGCCATTGCACAGGTACAGATAGAATGGCTAGATTCGCAAAGTTCTTTTTATCACATACTCGGCCTGTTATCCAGTGAATTCGCCCGTGTAATATTTGTACTTATGTCACTTGTGTAATATATCCTGGGGCGTTTTTCATTGGCTGTGTCAGTCAGAAATCGATTGTGGTGTCATAATATGGACAATGACGTGACGTCATAAATTGTGAATGTTGCAACAAAATTGCTGTCTTCATTTGATTAAGCCCTCTACATTTTGGCTTGAAAACCTGTTAAAATATAAATTTCCTGAGTTATGTGATAAAAAGTATCTTAAATATTTGTTTTAATTTCATATGCACTTTTATGAAACTCGTCTTGACGTATTAATTTTTGCTCGCCAAGGCTGGTAAAACTATAAACTCCTAAGACTCGTTTCATAAAACCTCATATGAAATAAAAACTCATTTAAGATCCTTAATTTATGGCCGAATACTTCAGGGTTAACACTGATTGTTTATTAGCCAGTCCGGCTAAATCATTCCAAGTGTAAAAATCATATTTTTAAATTTGAAATATTTCCGATGCAAGAACACGCTGATTTGACGTGAAAGGATATACCGGAGATAGAAATTTTCTCTGAAAGCAAAAACTTTGCAGTGTTCAGGAAATTAATAATCGTTTTTAAAAATAAACATAGAAATCTTCATGTTTACATTTTCTTCTTAAAATTTGTGATGGTCCTTGCATTTCTATCCATCATTAGGCAAGTAGCTGCCCACTATTTAACATTGGATGGATAGCTACTACATTATAATGGACAGCTACAGGTAATTATCTTTCTTCGTTGTAAATTTTGATATAAAAAATGTACAATGCAAACGAAAAGGTGATGTGCTTTAATTAAAAGTAAAGTAGTTTGACTGAGATCACGTGATCACATGTGTCACCTAGAAACATGACGAAGCCGGTCATCATATCTCGAGTTATACATTACTGTGATGAATAAATTCACGACAATGTAAATCCTACGTGAAGACGGGGAGTCAAACAAGACAGTAATATATGCTTGTAAAGTTGTAAATTACACATGTTGGATTGTTCGATTGTATGTGACATTGATATTTATCAACTAATGGTTTGTTGGAACATTCCGGACAATAAATGAGTTAAAGACAAAACATTTTGAATGATAAAATGAAATGTTATAATCACACTTACTTAGAGAACAAATATCCACCGGAATGTGACTATAGATTCACTAAGGCTACATGAAGGTTCTGTTATGTAACCTGTTATATTGTCATACATTTATTTTATATTTATGGAGGTCTGTTGTATTTTGTTGATTTGTTGATTGTTAATATCAATTTACTGAATCATGTGCTATGTAATTATAACAGGGTCTGATATTACAAAATATGGATAATTTGATACCTATTGTATTTCTAGTTAAGTCTGACAACACTTATACCAATTCACAATTCAGTGTCAAATGATGAGCTAAAATTGTTAAGAATATTATTCACTTATATAATGAAACGGCCTATTGGCGATTATCTTACTAGGCTTCTTTGAGATTTTTTATATATTTTAAGACATATGCTTTCTTTCATTGAATCAATTGCATTGTGATAATTGGTTATCTCAATCAAACCATTACAATTTTGTCCTATGCTAATCTTTACCTTTTTCACCTTCTTCCTTAGTCTACATGTGGTTTATCTGATTCCGTTCCTCGATACAACATGTACACCATCCCATGGCTAGGCTTACACATCTTACAACACTCCTCAACTTGAGGTGGTCTGTGTTGGTAAGTTTGGTGATGGATCGCGTTGGTAATACAATGCCTACATGTCATCACTACGCCTATGTCTACGGTAAATCACCTGTCGGGGGCCTCACTCAGGTAAATTGCCTAAGCTCACTCATTCAACCAATTAGTTATATATAGCTTTTTGTGTTAAATGGTCGGTCAAGGAAATTGCGTGAATCAGTTATAATTTGTCTCTTGTAAATATTCGCTCTTCCTTGTGTAGTGTTAACTACTGGTTCAGTGTATAATTTGGCTATTTTCTGTATTATCTCTCCTTCATTTCCAGTGTTTTAGTTTTCTCAGTCATTACGTACAGCGTTTATTCAATTAATTTCGACATCATTGGGCATTTAAATTTTTGCATAATATCACTTTTTTTAGCTTTGGCAGTAAAGCCATTTCAAAATTAAACATCGAACACACTGAATTGCTTTCAAACTGAGAGAAAGTACTGGTCCATTTGTCAGTCCTTTGGAAGGTAATTTATTTAATACGCTATACAATATATAAACATTTGTATATGCATAATCCATAATCTAGACGTATTAAAACACGACCGCTTGACGTAAATATATATAGATATACATGGACCAGGCTAAAACGAAAGCATACACGCACACGATATACACTCACATAACTCGTTCCTAGATAATAACAATGTTGTAGTGATTTAAAGTTTGATTTGCACCATGATGACCACCTAACTGATAGTCCAGTGTGTACTTGTTCAGATGAATTGGAAACAGTCTCTCATTTTTTCTAGAATGTCCTATTTTCTATGATTTGCGGATTAATTTGTTCAACTCACTCAGTAATTATGCCTTTGACCATAACCCTATCGGTATTGACATTGTTTTACATGGCTGTCCTAGTTGTGAAGGTAATACAAACAGACTAATGCTTCGTGATATACATTACTTTATAGGGAAATCCAAACGTTTTAACTTTAACAAGATCTAGAAAGTCATTATATTGACAAAAACTGTAATTTTCTATGAAAACAGTTGAACATGGCTGTGAAATTATTTGATTATGTAATAAATATATATTTTCACTTTTTTTGTGCTTCTCTACACAACGTTTTACTTATATTTTTGATAAATGTACATATCGGATTAATTCTGTATATTAAATGGTAGATTAGATAGTTACATATAAATAAATTGATGCACAGTTTAGTGATGACCTGTGCAGTACTTGCACATGGACTATTGGTCTATCTACCTAACTGTACCGAATGTTAAATAGTAACTCATGTGTACACGTGTAGTTATGATAATTAATAACCATATTTATGTTTTGTTTGTGTGTGTGTGTCTGTGTCGGTGTGTGTATGTCCTATGTTGTATTGTAAGCAATCAAATGTGAGTTACCTCCCTTTAATTTTACTTTATCGTTTACATTTATGTATTTTCATTTCAAAATATCTATAAAATATATTTAGCTAAAGTTCTATAATATTCTTGTAACACTCTAGCCACCTATGGAAAGAATGTATATAGGCTTGCCTGTTTTTCGATCCATTTGACCATAACACCATGTCAATAAAATATGTTGAAATGAAATGAAATAATAACAATGATAAAAACATACCACAATCATAGGTTAGTTAGACTTAAAAACCTAAAGAGTGCATCACTTTGTCATGACAAATACAAAGTTCAGTCATCTTCATTGTGTACTGATCACCAAAACCCGAGTCTTTTTACAACCCGGAGATTTTTTGAGATGCAGCACACCGTATAAGATGAACTTAAGGCACACACAGCTGAATGCACCTTTGCTATTTGGTAATAGATACCGTTCGCCAAAAATGTATTGTACTGCACATACAGCTGCCGGTGATACTAGTAGCGAAAACAACATACAGCTGTCGGTGATACTAGTAGCGAAAACAACATACAGCTGTCGGTGATACTAGTAGCGAAAAGTTGAAAATCTGAACTGGTCTAAATTACTGTTGAAAAGAAGGGTTGAGATGCTTAAAACCTCTTAATGTTATGAATCTCACAAAGAGTCAATGAGTACTGGTTAATTTCAAATTCAATATTGATTGAATGGTGTATATTATGAAACGTGTCACTTCTAAAAAGAGATTGTCGTGGCCATAAAACCTCAGGTTAATCCACCAACATAATCTACCACCTTGTACTTTGAAAGTTGAACGCAAGACACACAGGTTATCGAATCATAATAGATACCGTAGGTAAAAAGGAACTTTAAATTGAAACATATGTAAATGTCCGTTTGAACCTACCATTTACTGCGAACTGTATTTGCTTCAATACAGAACAACCTTCACATTTTCAGTTTTTATTCATTTTTGTTTATTAAAAAACAGGAGGCATGGTCCTACCGGCGTCTAGTGGTAGGACGCCGGGCTCGTGGCCCAAGGGTTGCGTGTTCGAGTCACGGCACGGCACTGTGTTGTTTCTCTGAGCAAGATACTTTACTCCGCTTGTTCCAGTCCACTCAGCTGTAAATGAGCACGTGGTTGGGCAGTGCTAGAATTGTTGAATGCTAACTGTTAGCGCCGAAATGGCAGCACCGGCTGTATGCTCCCCAGGGGAGTTGAGAAAGGTATCGGCTGATTGCAAAGGCCCTATAATCACGGATAGTAATTTGTGAACCGCTTTGAGACGACCTATGATCTAGGTTGTGATGAAGTGGTATACAAGAACCTCGAATTAATATTATAATTATTAGTATAAAATAAAAATTGAAGTACTTGTGAAAACAATATCTGAAACAGCAGCATACGTTAGCAGGACTGCAACAAAGTGTACCATGTTATAGCTAATGCCATGTCATCTGAATTGGATCATGTTCTGTTAAGTGTCAAGAACCCTTTAGGGCCCTCGTTTATAACGTCATGCAAATACAACTAAGGAATAAATAAGCAATACAATAAAGAAATGATCAAAACATAAATGACTGGGAATGATATCAAACTATCGTTATATATATTGTATAAATATCAAACTATCGTTATATATACTGTATAAACATAAATTACTGGGAGTTATATCAGACTTTCGTTATATATACTGTATAAACATAAATTACTGGGAGTTATATCAAGCTATCGTTATATATACTGTATAAACATAAAATACTGGGAATGATATCAAACTATCGTTATATATACTGTATAAATATAAATTAATGGGAATGATATCAAACTATCGTTATATATACTGTATAAATATCAAACTATCGTTATATATACTGTATAAATATAAATTAATGGGAATGATATCAGACTATCGTTATATATACCGTATAAACATAAAATACTGGGAGTTATATCAGACTATCGTTATATACACTGTATAAACATAAATTACTGGGAGTTATATCAAGCTATCGTTATATATACTGTATAAACATAAGATTATCGTTATATATACTGTATAAACATAAAATACTGGGAGTTATATCAGACTATCGTTATATACACTGTATAAACATAAATTACTGGGAGTTATATCAGACTATCGTTATATACACTGTATAAACATAAATTACTGGGAGTTATATCAAGCTATCGTTATATATACTGTATAAACATAAAATACTGGGAGTTATATCAGACTATCGTTATATACACTGTATAAACATAAATTACTGGGAGTTATATCAAGCTATCGTTATATATACTGTATAAACATAAGATTATCGTTATATATACTGTATAAACATAAATTACTGGGAGTTATATCAGAATATCGTTATATATACTGTATAAATAAATTAGTGGGAATGATATCAGACTATCGCTATATATACTGTATAAATATAAGACTATCGTTATATATACTGTATAAAGATAAGACTATCGTTATAAATACTGTATAAACATAAGACTATCGTTATATATACTGTATAAACATAAGAGTTGTTTTTACAGTTTTCCATTAAATTATGTGTGTGGCAAACTACCGATTTGGTACAAGGCACGCGCACAAATTCTCGGTTTTATCTACAACACAAGTGACGTTCATGTAGTATTAAACAAAACAAACTTAATCTTCTCTATTTATTACATTTTAAAGCATCAAGTAAAATATCACTTAACGAAGAAGAGCTGAAATTCAAATGCGTAATCGAGATCTTAAGCACCTTATTCTACATTATATGACGCCACTGACTGCCATGTTTGTGAGTTTTGTTAACAAAAATGGTATCAGTTGTGGGATTATATAAATACCCTAGCAAAGTAATAATGATATACCAGAACAACTACTCCTATTTATTTTACATCCGTTCATCTACATCTGAATAGAAAACCAATGGTTTTGAACTCAATGGATGGATTTTTTTTATTGTTCAATAATCTCCAACCGAGTGTTTCCGTAGCAATACATGTAGTACCCAACCCTATGTGGAAGACGAACAGTTAAACACTTAGGCAATTTATTATTCCGAGCTCTATGCTACATTTTTACCAAATTTAATAGAAACACTACTCAGGATTATCAAGTTAACTTTTTTTATATTAAAAAACACATATTGCATAAAATACACACTTATGTATGTGTTTGATTTCATGTATGTTTGTATATAGATGGTATTGTTTGAATGTCACTTCAATATTTATTTTGTCTTCTAAAAATTAAGAAACAATACAAACACTCATGGTTTCTGTTTTTGTTGTTGCCATATAATTGCCTCCTTCACCACAATGAAGATCATGCAATATATTAACCGTGGTTGGCGTTTATAATCTATAAAAAATCCCCAAATAATGGACTATTTGATCGCAGCTGAAAACTTAAATCTGTGAGTGCGTTTGTTGAATTAGCTGTTAAGATCCCAGCGTATTTATAATATTTTGTACATTCGCTATCAATTTGGGTAACTTCCTTATATGGCATTTTCAGTCTCCATGCAGAAGCGGTAATGGTGGAGTTTGGTCGGCTGGTACCATAATAGGAGCTCCGATTGCCTGCAGCCGTGTGATTGTGTAACCACATATTGAAGTTATCTGTAGCCGCCAATCCCAAGAAATTAAATAAACTGTCTGATGCCGATTTAGGATGTTCGGCGATCTGTTCATACAGATACGTTTTCAGTCGTCCAGGGTACTTCTGCTTGAGCTTCATGGCTACTTCTATGTCACGTTCGAACCGTTCACACACTGATCGTGCAACGGTTGTTAAATTCATCCATGGTTTCACGAAGCCTCCCCGTTTCCGAGAATAAATCATTCCTCGTGGATCGCGAAGCAGGTGAACCACCTTCAGATTAGTAACCTTCTGCAGTAATGTCTCCACAATATCCATTGACAAGCGAATCGTTTTTATAGATTTTGTCGATTCAAAGCACTGTTTTAAGCATATCTCTTTCCTTGTTTTAAGTTTTGCGGAAGTCTTTACACACATGTGATATTGTGCAACAGCCTTACCATAATGGCTCCACATAAAGGCTCGATTAAAATGGGTCAGGTCACAGCTGTAGAAACGGACGATGTCAGCTACGATCATCTGCGTCTGTTCCGATGTTTGACGGGGTGGCCTAAAGAGATAAACAATGTTTACGAATTTTGTTACGGTAAGTTGTATATAGGATGGAACATATTTGACACCCCACTCAACCCCTGTGGACTTTTACCAGCAACAGTTTTTCTATTAACGTGAATAGCTATACGACTGTTGCCTAGACTTCCCACGTATGCTAGGAAAACCTGGTGCTGGTAAAAGTTCCAGCAAATCCACCGTAGTCTGAACAATAGTTTTGATGTTGTTTTTGTTTGTGTGAAGTGTTCCTTTTTGACTTTCGTATTGACCTTGATCTCCACTCCGTGCTTATGTTGTGATATTATGTAATACATTTTTTCTATATCATTTCATTAATGTTAATTCGAGACCGGTCTCCCTACAGTATTTACATGTAGCATTTGATTCGGTATTTAAGGGTTTCAGTAGAGTATACTTTATAAGATCTCAGTATAGTATATTTGATATCCAGGTGAGATATAAATTATATACCGTTTTGTCGTGTGTTTACCTTGTGATTTTGTTGTCACTTCTCTGATTTTCACTGAAGCCGTCGAGTTAATTTATTGAACTTTTATTTTAATTTCCGGGTTGTTTTTGTAGATTTCAACTATTTTATTTCCTTCGTATAATTTATTTATAATGGTACGTCTTTTTTTTTATTTTTTTTCAGATATATAGATATATGTATTTATTTCGTATTATACATTTTTTGTGTTTGCATTACGGCTTTGCTCTCACTTTAGGATTATCTTCTTGTTTTTGTCATAGAATACGAAAACACGAAAAAAAGTAGTTCATTTCAAATTAAAAAAACTAATTGCAAAGAAGTTGTTACTGTGAAATGTTCAATCACAATGATGACATGATGGATTGACGTTATCTGATTGCAAGGCTACCTGCATGATGAGTTAGAAATTGAACAGATGCCGTTCATAGTGAAGTATCCTATATCCTCCGGGCGCTTGACGGTACGTGACTGTAAGTAAGGCTTCAGCGGTTCATAAGTGTAGAACACCCCGGGGACCTGTTGTATGATGTCGGCCGTCAGAGTAGACCCACTACGGAGGTACGTGAGGAGGAGCACATGTGTATGACCTACGAAAAGGGAAAATGAAAAATGAAAAAAATGATTTTGTCAGAGTACTCAGCTATCGTTTCGCCTGGCATTACAGACAGACAAGTGACAAATATTATGAGAGTTGCATTTACAAATCAAAAATGTATGATTCGGAAAATTAGTTATTTAAATCGAAGAGGAATTTTGTTCCGTCTCAACATTTTTTTTATTGGCAAAATATATGCTTAAATAGTTACAAGCAAAAGGAGCAAATGGGTAAGCAATGAAAATTAGGTTTGGTTAACTAGTAGGATTGGACAGTGGTGAAATGTACCACACCATTTAGTTGGATTTGTTCGTAGTGTACAGTGATACATATTCGTTTAAATATCTGACCAATATATTCTAATGAACACTCATCTTAGAGGTTATAGCATGCACACATTGCAAACTACCCACGGGTAAGACGAATAATTAACAGGGTTCAGTTGGCTTTGTTAATTTATTCTAGACTATAATTACAAGGGTTGAGGTGGCTTTATTGTGCATTAGTATTCAACAGAAGCTGTTAAAAACTCGCATAATGAAATATTTCTATTTGTCAGCAAACATCATGTAATTAACATAATCTTCCTATTATTATGAAAAAATTGTTCTCTTTTACACCTTGTGGTTGAATCATAAAGAGTATTAGTTTAAGCATTTTGATATCATTGTCATAAGAATTCCCAGGAATCAAAGATGTAATGATGTCACATTCTGTACCTGTTCGTGAATCTAAAGATTTTGAAATCGTTAAGAAAAGGTATTCAGTTTATCAGCAGCAAGAATGTGGAATGTTTTTGAAATATGAAAGGTTAAGATTTTAAAGACAGTTTTCAAATCTATAAATTAAGGTATTGACTATCGAGGTTGTGGGATAGTTCATATAGTTTTCTAAAATGCCATGTTTATACAATAGAGAAAGTATATTTTGATTTTCAGATTATTAATAATTCTCCTATCTTTAACCTATATCTGAATATATATTCCCATAGTTTGTTGGTGGTAAAGAAAACTTAAAGGAAGACATTTCTCAAAAAAACATATGTTTGTAAATATGATATTATAAAAATGGACGAAATCTAAACAATACGATACTAAAATTATACAAAATGTACAGCCTAAATCGTTCGTAAATAACCCAAAATGTATTATTGAAAGAAAGACTATATGCGAATGTTGACTTTTTAAGATACAAAGTTATTCATAATACACACTATACTCCGTATTTTATATGGGCAATACCATGTTAATCCACCAGATATGTTAACTACAGTACCCACATGGAATGAGTGTCTCTGTAACTTATGTGAAGAGTATAATGTAGACCCTATCTTACATTTAGTTACGAAGTGTAGTGCCACCCTTAATGAGAGGATAGTTTAATGGCCCATATTATTGAGACATAAGGAACGGATGCCGGTGTCTACCTTGACTATCTCTTCCAGTGACATTTCCTGAGATTACTATTAGGAAAGCGATACGAAGCATTTCAATTGTATTTTGTGAGCAATGACCAGTATGTTAACTTTATTCAATATGGCACCGACTTCCTGAATATGTCTGCCTTCTTGAGCCAGTCATCTTGTATGACCTTTTTTTAACCGCTTTGTTAACCCACATCTGGATTATTGCTCAACTGATTGGGGTAACAGTTCAAAAAATAATATTGTAAAATTAGAACGCCTGCAAAAGAGAGCAGCCAGAATTATTTTAAAATGTGATTTCTCCACACCTTCCTGTGATATTTTCAAAAAACGAAACTAAATGTGTTTTATTTGCCATGTCATAAGACAAACATTTTTAGAAAATCTTTTAAATACCAGGGACCCCTTACATGGAATCTTTTACCAAGTCACAGTAGAAAATGTACTTCATTTTTAGAATTTAAGAGATCTGCAAAGCAATTTTACTTGAAATGATTTATGATTTCCTCCCTTATCCTGTAGTTTATACATGTGTATTTCTTAAAGCTGTAAATATTGAACATTTTATCATACATTGTATCTTGACCATATGTAAAATGAGCTTCATGCTCAATATGTTATTAAGAATAAATAAAGCCTTTATTATTATTATTGTTATTATTCTATCATACAGATAGATTTATTTGGGTGTAATATACTGTCTCTTATATCAGAGAGGCAATGCTGAACTTTGACTATTATGATGTTGAAATAGTGATTATCGTGTAAAGATATGTCCATATTTTTTTATCTTTATTTGTAATCTCTTATAAGAAGAATAAATAGACCTTAATTGATACGATTTGATTTTGACTAACCGTAAATAACTCATTATGTGTATGCCTTATCAGCTGCGAATAGCTTTATATACTTTGTAATATAATCTCGTTTTGTATGAGTTGGATTGTACTCAGGTAAACGACTTCCAGCCTTTTCTTTTAACTACTACTATATTATTTACCACCACCATTACCGCCACCACCACTACTACAACTACTATTTACTACTTCTATCATCGCCACCATCACCGCCACCACCACTACTACAACTACTATTTACCACTACCATCACCGCCACCATCACAACTACAACTATTATTTACTACTACTATCATCGCCACCATCACCGCCACCACTACCACTACAACTACTATTTACTACTACTATCTTCGCCACCATCACCGCCACCACCACAACTACAACTACTATTTACTACTACTATCATCGCCGCCACCACCACTACAACAATTGCTAACACTTGTGTAAAGATTTGATTTTCATGCTCAAAAACAAATCCAACATTCAATCTTTCTATGTACATAAGCTCTCGAATTTACATTTTCATGTTGTTATCGTATTGTACAATAATATAAAGTTCACGTCACACTATTTGCACAGTATTTGTGTACATCAGCAACAGCCTCTCACTACTTGAGCCGTTGCAAACGAATCGCATCATACTTCAGAACTGGATATTTTCTTAAAATTTTATCTAGAATCTTTTAACTAGATGGCAGTAGTAAAGAAAAGTACTGAAAGAATGCAAAATTAGGACATAGCTTCCTTTTACTTGACCTGACTGATCTTGATATGCAAATTAGCTGTAAAACAAACCACATATTCTGATGCTGTGTATTGCCCTAGACTAAGATACAAAAGAGTTATAAAGAATCATCGAAACAACATGCAAAAAATAATAGGAACCAAAAATACATTAGACATGAATGATATTATAAATCATCCAAAATAGTGGACGAAACTAGGTGCTTTGAATGGTAAGTGTTTTTACTTACTACACGCATTCTTTTACAACGCTAACAAGTCACCTAATAGATGTCGTTAGATATGGCGTTCCCGTGGCTACAAACAACTCAGTCCTTAAGAATGGCTAACAAATGGCGTTCCAGTGACTACAAGTCACCTCAAGACTAACAAATGGCGTTCCAGTGACTACAAGTCACCTCAGGACTAGCAAATGGCGTTCCAGTGACTACAAGTCACCTCAGTCTGTCTTTTCATTGGCTACAAATCATCACAGTCCTAGAGAATAGCGTTTCAGTGGCTACAAGTCACCTAAGTCCAATAAAATGGTATCCTGAGGCTACAAGTCACCTATGTCATTAGATATGGCGTTCCCGTGGCTACAAATAACTCAGTCCTTGGGAATGACGTGGTCGTGGCTATTAGTCATCTCAGTCCCATAAAAGTGCGTTCCAAAGGCTAAAGGTCACCACAGTCCTAGATTATAGCGTTCCATTTGCTACAAGTCACCTAAGTCCAAGAAAATGGTATCCTGTGGCTACAAGTCACCACAGTCCTAAATATTGCGTTCAATCGGTTACAAATCACACCATTCCTAGAGAATGGCGTTCAAAAGGCTACAAAATATCACAGTCCTAGATAATGTCGTTCCAGTGGCTACAAGTCACCACAGTCCTAAAAATTGCATTCAAGTGGCTACAAATTACACAAGTTATAGAGAATGGCCTTCCAGTTACCACATGTAATATTTGTCCTCGAGAATGGCGATTAAATGGCTAAACTTTTCCTCGGTTCTAGAGAATGGCATTCCAATGGCTACAAATAATCTATGTGATAGCGAATGGTGTTCCAGTGACTACAAGTTCCCTTATTCCAAGTTAGATTTCCTATAACTTCTACAAGTTGTCTCAGTCCTTGTACAACATGTTTTATATCTTAAAAGTACGGACATTTGTGATTAAGAATATGATAACCTGAACAACAACAAAAAAAATAGTCGAGGCAAATCCAAGGCTTATTTCAGTTTTTACAGGTTCATATAATGAAATGAATCATTACAAAAATCAATAACTGTTTAAACATAAGCCTTACAATTGAAAATAAGGACAAAGAAGGTTTATTTGGATAGTTTATGGGTGCTAGGTATCCCATTCGGCTGAGAAGAAACAATCAGTCAGTGGAACAATGCAGTTAAGCACAGGAAAGTGATCAGCAGAAAAATATAAATCGGCTCAGTAGAGCAATCAGTTAGTTTAACAATAGAGATTGCCTTTGTATAACAATCAGTCAAGTGAACAATAGTGCTTGCCCTGTATAACAATCAGTCAAGTGAACAATGGTGCTTGCCTTGTATAACAATCAGTCAAGTGAACAATATTGCTTGCCTTGTATAACAATCAGTCAAGTGAACAATATTGCTTGACCTGTATAACAATCAGTCAAGTGAACAATAGTGCTTGCCTTGTAAAACAATCAGTCAAGTGAACAATAGTGCTTGCCTTTGTATAACAATCAGTCAAGTGAACAATAGGGATTGCCTTTGTATAACAATCAGTCAAGTGAACAATGGTGCTTGCCTTGTATAACAATCAGTCAAGTGAACAATATTGCTTGTCATGTATAACAATCAGTCAAGTGAACAATAGTGCTTGCCTTGTATAACAATCAGGCGAGTGAACAATAGTGCTTGCCTTGTATAACAATCAGTCAAGTGAACAATAGTACTTGCCTTTGTATAACAATCAGTCGAGTGAACAATAGTGCTTGCCATTGTATAACAATCAGTCAAGTGAACAAAAGTGGTTGGCTTGTATAACAATCAGTCAAGTGGACAATAGTGCTTGCCTTTGTATAACAACCAGTCAAGTGAACAATAGTGCTTGCCTTGTATAATAATCAGTCGAGTGAACAATAGTGCTTGCCATTGTATAACAATCAGTCAAGTGAACAATAGTGCTTGCCATTGTATAACAATCAGTCGAGTGAACAATAGTGCTCGCCATTGTATAACAATCAGTCAAGTGAACAATAGTGCTTGCCTTGTATAATAATCAGTCGAGTGAACAATAGTGCTTGCCTTTGTATAACAATCAGTCAAGTTTAACAATAGTGCTTGCTATGTATAACAATCATGCTGATCAATACAGTATACATATTTTATTGTTTATAAAATAATATTTTGCGAGGAATAAAGGATTTCTCTTAAGGCTATACTTCATATTCATATTCCATATTCACCGGAAAAGCGGTCTGCATGAGGACGGGACACGTGCAANCTTTGTATACCAATCAGTCAAGTTTAACAATAGTGCTTGCCTTTGTTTAACATTCAGTCAAGTGAACAATAGTGCTTGCCTTTGTATAACAATCAGTCAAGTTGAACAATAGTGCTTGCTATGTATAACAATCATGCTGATCAATACAATATACATATTTTATTGTTTATAAAATAATATTTTGCGAGGAATAAAGGATTTCTCTTAAGGCTATACTTCATATTCATATTCCATATTCACCGGAAAAGCGGTCTGCATGAGGACGGGAAACGTGCAAGGGATCTGGCCAATGCCGGAATTTGCAAGAAATCAACAAATTTGTAATACAGTTGTGGGATCGCACAACGTTACACGATGTCACGCGCCATGCTTTTTCCAGACAATAAAGCCACCGATTAAAGCAAGCATTAAATAAAAATGGAAAACGCTGATCAATACAATATACATATTTTATTGTTTATAAAATAATATTTTGCAAGGAATAAAGGATTTCTCTTTAGGCTATACTTCATATTCATATTCCATATTCACCGGAAAAGCGGTCTGCATGAGGACGGGAAACGTGCATGGGATCTGGCCAATGCCGGAATTTGCAAGAAATCAACAAATTTGTAATACAGTTGTGGGATCGCACAACGTTACACGATGTCACGCGTCATGCTTTTTCCAGACAATAAAGCCACCGATTAAAGCAAGCATTAAAAAAAAATGGAAAACGTGAAGTCTTTCCGAGANGTCATGCTTTTTCCAGACAATAAAGCCACCGATTAAAGCAAGCATTAAATAAAAATGGTAAACGTGAAGTCTTTCCGAGGGCCATAATTGTTATACGTACTTTCTTCTTTGTTCATATCACGCTCCGTTGCAGCATCCTTTCCATTCTCCATATTTACTCCAGTATTGTCGGTGTCGCTCTGATTATTGTTGGCTTTGCTCTGTGTATTGCTTGTCCTGTCCAGTATATTGATTGTCTCTTCTGGCGCATTTTGTGTTTCGTACTTGTTATGTATTCCGTGTATATTCTGTGTTCCTTGTGTATGCTTTGTTTCCTGTGTATTCTGTGTTCCCTGTGTATGCTCTGTTTCCTGTGTATTCTGTGAATTTTTCGTGTTCTGTGTTTTTTGCGTGTTCTTTCCTATACGTTTGTTGAGTGTTTCTTGTATATTCTTTTTTCCCTGTAAGTTCTCCAAATTAACATTGTCGCTCCAGTCAAGCAGATTATCGATCATCCCCTCCGGATTGACATTGTCTTTAAATGCATCGTTTTCAATTCGATTTACCTTGCCGACAACGTTATCATTCTGGTTTTGTACGCTGACAGGATCTTTTTTTAAAACTATGGCTGCATGTCTAGCGGTAACACTCTTATCATTTTTATTTTCTTCTGTGATATCTGTCTCTTCGAATTTCACTCGTTGACGTAAACTATCCGTCTCACCCGTGTTTTGATGGGTATCACTGGTATCGAGTTTGTCTATTGTCTCTGCCGTATTGAATGACTCACCCTCCTTCTTCCACGTGTTACGAACATTGGACACATCTGCAGCATTCGGAACAACATATTTGTGGTAATTGTTTTGTGTGCTACTTTGTTCATTATCCGCCATTATAAATGCCGCCTCAATTTCATCACCATTGACACTTCCAGTGTGCATTCCTCTGACGTTGTAATTAGGACTCATTGTTTGGGCATTACTTCGCACGTCCCCTAGACCTTGCTTACCTGTCGTTGCCCATATCTGTTCACGCGTGCTTGTCATACCATGGCTCTGTTTATCAGGTTCGCCATCATAAACTGCAGAAACGAAACTTATTATTTAGATATTTAAAATGTCTTGCCATACCCAAGTGTTTCAGATCAAGATGGTTGAAAATAAAAATATCTCTCCGAGAGTAAAAACAATAACTTAAATGGACTACTTCAATTGGCTTTCGAATGATCAATCGGTAGTTTAATGTGTATGAACCACAGACATACCTCAAAATATGTTATTCTGTGGACTCGTCATAATGATGATTATGCTAGCGTACCAAAATAGTGCAAGTAAGAATGTTTAGCGTTTCTACAAGAGATACAGATATTATGGTATCTTTCAATAACAACAGAATCACAAAAGAGGTTATTTCAATGACGAAACGGCATTCATTATTGTGCATCCAAGTGGATTATATTCCTCGTTTCTTTGTCAAAAACAATCACAACTGCCTATTGCCAGTGTCATTTCAAAGTGTACCTTTTCATCTTTATACCAATATGTAATATAGGTGATATCTGATACGAGTATAATATATTATTGAAATTGATTTTACCGACTGATCGTCAAGGATGTAATATATTCTGTAATTCATGTAATCTAAGAGAGCGAATCTTTTTTCATTGTGTACATTTGTGGTGTTCAGGAGTCTATTACGAGTCCCTGTGATGAAAGCTACCAAACTATGTGTACCATACATCAGTTGTTTATATATATTCCAGTTAAATTGGAATATTACAACAATACATTGGTTAATACAAACAAGTGTATTGGTATTGCAGAAAACTACAGCGTGCTGGTTCAAACTCATCAAACAGTGAAAAACAAATCACGACCTGTCAGCTCACCTAAAAATAGACCCACTAAATCATCGTTACATTACAATCATCAAAAGTATTTAACTAATAATGATGCAAATTAAAAACAGTAATTAATTGCAATATATTGAAATGCATTCCATGCCTCTCCATCCTATTTAGTGGTGAATGGTTTGATAACAAATTGCTCTCCTTTAGAATCCTGGGCGTGCGAAAAGGTTTTAAAAGACAACGGACAAAAGACGTGTACGTGTATATGTAGCTAATTATTTAATCCAGGATAACAAATTAGTAAGATATGCACTGTAACTGAAATAATTGTACTCTTGAAAACAAAGATCTATTTCCATTAACTTGCATCACTAGGCAACGCAAAATTGTAGATATGAAAAAAATTTGATGAACAATTCTTTTTTTTATTTTTTTAATGCAATTATTACAGATGACTGTTTTTGGAATGAAAAAAGGAATGCTTTTATGATTCGAAGAGATATGTTAAATAATGATATTTGTTTTATATACAGTGCTGTTTATTTTGTATTAATTAACGTAAAAGTCATGCAATTACCAAATGTTTATATTAAAATAAAATAAAACACTTTGAATGAATAATAACATCAACCTATAAATGACTAGTAAAATTACACAATTTACACGTGAAAATTACCTAAAAAAACCCTTTAAATAACTAGTAAAACTACACAATTTACACGTGTAAATTACCTATAAACAACCTTTAAATGACTAATAAAACAACACATTTTACACGTGTAAATTACCTATAAACAACCTTTAAATGACTAGTAAAACTACACAATTTACACATGCATGTACAAAATACCTATATTATATACAATCTATCAATGACTAGTAAAACTACACAATTTACACGTGTAAATTACCTGTAAAACAACCTTTAAATGACTAGTAAAACTACACAATTTACACGTGTAAATTACCTATAAACAACCTTTAAATGACTAATAAAACTACATAATTTACACGTGTAAAATACTTATAAACAACCTTTAAATGACTAATAAAACCACACAATTTACACGTGTAAATTACCTATAAACAACCTATAAATGACTAGTAAAACTACACAATTTACACGTACATGTACAAAATACCTTTAATACAACCTTTAAATGACTAGTAAAACTACACATTTCACACGTGAAAATTACCTTTAAACAACTTTAAATGACTAGTAAAACTACACAATTTACAAGTACATGTACAAAATACATATAATACAACCTATAAATGACTAGTAAAACTACACAATTTACACGTGAAAGTTACCTATAAACAACCTTTAAATGACTATTAAAAATACACAAAACACACGTGCATGTACAAAATACCTATAATATACAATCTATAAATGACTAGTAAAACTACACAATTTACACATGTAAATTACCTATAAACAACCTTTAAATGACTAATAAAACAACACATTTTACACGTGTAAATTACCTATAAACAACCTGTAAATGACTAGTAAAACTACACAATTTACACATGTAAATTACCTATAAACAACCTTTAATAGACTAGTAAAACTACACAATTTACAAATGAAAATTAACTTTAAACAACCTTTAAATGACTAGTAAAACTACACAATTTACACCTACATGTACAAAATACATATAATGCAACCTATAAATGACTAGTAAAACTACACAATTTACACATGCATGTACAAAATACCTATATTATATACAATCTATCAATGACTAGTAAAACTACACAATTTACACGTGAAAATTACCTATAAAACAACCTTTAAATGACTAATGAAACTACACAATTTACACGTGTAAATTACCTATAAAACAACCTTTAAATGACTAATGAAACTACACAATTTACACGTGTAAATTACCTATAAACAACCTATAAATGACTAGTAAAACTACACAATTTACACGTGAAAATTACCTATAAAACAACCTTTAAATGACTAATGAAACTACACAATTTACACGTGTAAATTACCTATAAAACAACCTTTAAATGACTAATGAAACTACACAATTTACACGTGTAAATTACCTATAAAACAACCTTTAAATGACTAATGAAACTACACAATTTACACGTGTAAATTACCTATAAAACAACCTTTAAATGACTAGTAAAACTACACAATTTACACTTGTAAAATACTTATAAACAACCTTTAAATGACTAGTGAAACTACACAATTTACACGTGCATGTACAAAATACCTATAATATAAATCTATAAATGACTAGTAAAACTACACAATTTACACGTACATGTACAAAATACCTTTAATACAACCTTTAAAGGACTAGTAAAACTACACATTTTACGCGTGAAAATTACCTTTAAACAACCTTTAAATGACTAGTAAAACTACACAATTTACACCTACATGTACAAAATACATATAATGCAACCTATAAATGACTAGTAAAACTACACAATTTACACATGCATGTACAAAATACCTATAATATAAATCTATAAATGACTAGTAAAACTACACAATTTACACATGCATGTACAAGATACCTATATTATATACAATCTATCAATGACTAGTAAAACTACACAATTTACACGTGAAAGTTACCTATAAACAACCTTTAAATGACTATTAAAACTACACAATTGACACGTGTAAAATACTTATAAACAACCTTTAAATGACTAATAAAACTACATAATTTACACGTGTAAAATACTTATAAACAACCTTTAAATGACTAGTGAAACTACACAATTTACACGTGCATGTACAAAATACCTATAATATACAATCTATAAATGACTAGTAGAACTACACAATTTACACGTGTAAATTACCTGTAAAACAACCTTTAAATGACTAATAAAACTACACAATTTACACGTGTAAAATACTTATAAACAACCTTTAAATGACTAATAAAACTACACAATTTGCACGTGTAAAATACTATAAACAACCTTTAAATGACTAGCAAAACTACACAATTTACACGTTTTAAATACCTATAAAACAACCCATAGAAATGACTTGTAAAACTACACAATTTACACTTATAAAATACTTATAAACAACTTTTAAGTGACTGATATAACTACACAATTTACACGTGTATTTATGTAGAGCTTTGTTATCATTAACTGACGGTATCAAGAACATTTACACTTTAATCTAGCTGTTGTTTTATAAGATATGCTGTTGTACATCAACAATGTTTTGTACGTTCATGCATCAATGATTGTTTTCTTTGTGTCAAATGAACAGTCCAAGCTAGCTATATATGTACAGTTTACAGTAATGAGTGGGCCTTAGTTGCTATGTACAAATTAGTTTGGATTAGCTTTAATGATTTTCATGTTATGTAGCTGCACGTGTTCTAGATGTATTTAGCCTTAAGCAAGTTATAGTTCCATGTCTAATTAGCTTACAAGACCGGCGATTCAACACTGCAGACATGGTGTTTCTAATTATATATTGAAATTTAAAAAAATCAAAGCAATTATAACAATAATGAATGTGTCAAACAATCAGTGACCAAGTCCATGTATAGTTACAAAAAAACATAATAAGCATAAAAGAAAATTAACACATTTTAAATGAAGCAGGTCAACTGAGATAGTCTCTAAAGTCGACGCTTGGTTTGAAAAATATGGTTTCGATTTACTGATAACGCCGCATGTTTGCAAAAAATCAGCCAGGTAAATTATATATATTCCCGCTTTTGGTACACAAAACACGTGCTTTATGTGAGGATTACGCTTTAAATTCCGGTTCACGCTTCGATTACAACCTTTGCACGCACTACATTTGCTGTCAATCAAATCCTCCACAACACAGCCTGAATTATGACTGATATCTGTCGCGTTATTTCTCTTCGAGGCGTCACTCTTGTCGAAGTATTTAACTTTACTCGGCAAGCATGTATTATCGTATATAACATCATAGATTCGGGGAGAGACCTTGAAGTATAGCATTACAATACGATTGTCAAAGCTCATAAAATCGAATATATCTGCTGAATTTCAATACAAAAGTTATCAACAAGTTTAAAAACAACTTTTATTGTCACAAGATGAAAATGATGATACATTTTCAATTAAATAAACAAATACATGTTGTTGAAAAAGCTTAAGATTAACGTAGTTCAAACCAGTTTTTAGCATTATGATTTAAGGACAAGAATATTATTTAGAAAACAATGATAAGTGCACTGATAACAACATCTTTTTAGCATTATTGTGATATTGAGGGTACGTACCTGTTGAATCAAAATAGAACACACCGTTCTTAAATAGTCTGCTATACACCAAATTCTTCTTTCCTAAAAATATCAATCATTATCAATAAATATCTCAACCATCAAGTCGACCAATTCCCACATATCGTAGTGACTTTAGAAGATATAAATTAAATATCTATTGTATCTCTTTTGTTATAGTATGAATTCTATTTTCACGCTACTATGAGTTATACATACAGGTAAAAATAGAATGGCCTAGTTCTAATCTCCCTCAGAGTTTAATCTTAAACTTCTCTGTTAGCCACAAAACAATAGAATACCGAAGCATCAACAAACAAAAAACAAATAATCCGAATTCAAAATCGATAAAAACTAGGATAACATATGAACAAAGGAAATATTTACACGGAGACCCTTACACAAATACAAGGGGAATAAGACCCGGAAGGTTGTGCGTACGCGTCTTATGCCTCAACGTTCACAACCGCCATGTAGATCTTACTCGAATCCCAACGTTCGCACAATGCGGACTCTGGTAGTGACAACTAAACCACGAGGCAGTCGTTCTACATGCGATCTGGGTAAGGACCAGTATCGTGATTAACCAATTGTAGTGATGGACAAATCATCGTTATAATATAAAGGGGTGCATGTGTGTATGCAATAGAGGTTAACTGTAGGAAACTGTCAATTTGATTTCAAATACTTACTTGAAATTACCCATAAACAAAAATGGAATGTAGAGAGTTTTGATAAACATCATCAATTGAGTTATTAGTGAATTAGTTATCATTTTATAGTATACAAACGGGATTTTTCGCGAAACAAACTGGCATTTGTTCCTAAGGGTGTGGCAAAAAAAGATATTTTTTATTTTTTTTTATTTATTGAAAACCTGAGTTTTTAAACATGTCTTTAACCTTCCATACTTATATACCATATATAGCTAAATATATATATTAATATCCTTCTGAAAGTTGTCAATGGCTGGTGCTCTTTACAAATTAGCTTGAAGACGGCATACAAATATCGATGCTACCAAGGTTTTGAACGATAAGCAAATATCCCCATAAAAATAGGGTCAGTCCAGGCACGAAGTAACTGGCTATCTAAACTGCAGCTTTGAGAGCTCTTCAAAAGGTCAAAATAGGAGATATAATTAACAAATCGGGAGCATGATGAATTTGATTCAATTTCAGGGAGAATTAAAAATGTCAGGTCAAATATTCTATAAAAAGGAATCATAGCTGTTTTCCTCCAAATTGATGACAAACACAAAACAGAAAGTATATATAATTTTTACTTCGATGTCTTAACATCGTTCAACATCCGCTGGTCAGTATGTGGTTGTGTAGGTGGACAAGATACCTAATGACACTATTATATGCAGTGCTTGAAAAAGGTATGAACTTATCTGGTAACCATAGAAACCCAAGTTATTGATTTTCAAATTCCAAAGATCAAATACTAGCCTCCTATGCTTCCACGCTTCTACTTGTATTGGAATCCGAAACTACTTGACAATGATCATTTTAAACAACGTTTCGTCGCTGGCTGAGCTAGTTGCTCAACCAGGCCATTATCCAAACTCCTTACTATCATTCTAAGTATTTTTAAATCAAGTTTACTATCATATTCTGACCCTCTTAACTCCAGAATGAAGGTATTTAATAAACCCCGAAGTTAATTTTATTAAACTTAAACATGTTTTCCTCAAAAATGGTGTGGGTTTTTTTCCCAATAAGAACAATTGACATTTCAATTCTGTACACTAACATACCAAACGCCTGTTCTATTTCTCTGTGATATGAACGACGATGTTTCTGATTACACTCATTAATGTGACTTGTGGTTTTGTTGTAACTACCCCAGTTCCCTCTATGATGACGTGACATTACTTGGATGTAAATGTAGGAAACACAAATAGCTTACTCTTTGTTGACATTTGGATACAACAGTCGATTTCACTGTTGTCGCCACCAAGTATTGTACCAAAGCAATTGATTACAAAGAAAGCTTCGTATCCCCGCCACATGTACATTCGTATTACATAATCACCATGTTTAGCAACAGCGCCCTCAATACATATACCAATAAATACACATAAATATACATTAACATTAGGTATTTACCGATAATTATATAAATACATTAAGTAATCAATTGATGAAATAATTAATTACCATTTATCGGAATTGATGATAACAGATCTAGAAAACAAAAGATATATTCGTAATCACTATGTCTAGTAATAATAGTTAGTAATTCAGTTATAAGTGAAAGAATGAAACATTGCTAGAGTCCCGGATATGAAAACTCTTTTCAGTTCCGTGGACTCGAAGGCATTACTTAACTTTTTAAAAGGCATCGGTCTATTCTATAGACTCTGATGTCTTTTAACTCACCTTACCCTTCTGACGTTATATATATCACATATTCCATATCATCTTTTCGCTATCTCTTTTATTATTTGAACCCCCTTTTTATTTTAATTATCTACACATACAATGCGAATGCTTTTAAAATGAACCATTTTATCATATTGTATCTTCGCTACTCATATGTTTGTTAAAAAATAAAATAAATAAATAAATCACCATGGCCCTAAATGACCACAGCCGTCGATGGGCCGTTATAATATAAACAAACAAATAAACACACAATGTTAGAAGCAACCCACATCAATCCACACATAAAACAGCATATGTCGATTTTAATAACAATATAACATTCATATATTAGTGTGCAATACATTAAAATCACTGGTATGTTGTTGTGGTAGGACAGCATATCACAACATGCACCTGTCGATAAAACCAGAAATTGTGATATATAACTTAAGAACTGTACACTTACCAACAACAACCAGGAAGGCAATGCTGGTGACAGTTATCAACAGATAAACAAAACGTAACAACTGTGTTTTTACCAATAACAACCAAGACGGCAATGCTGGTGCTAGTTATCAAACAGAGAAACAAAACGTAACAAAAGTGTACTTACCAATAACAACCAAGACGGCAATGCTGGTGCTAGTTATTAAATAGAGAAACAAAACGTAACAACTTTCTACTTACCAATAACAACCAGGACGGCAGTGCTGGTGGCAGTTATCAAACAGAGAAACAAAACGTAACAAATGTCTTCTTACCAATAACAATCAGGACGGCAATGCTGGTGACAGTTATCAAACAGAGAAACAAAACGTAACAACTGTGTACTTACCAATAACAACCAGGACGGCAATGCTGGTGACAGTTATCAAACAGAGAAACATATATCGCTTCACCTTTCGACTGATTCTGGGACAATAAGTGTGCTGGCTAACACTGCTCTTCATGCTTCGCTGATTACTGAAATCTGAATAAATCGTTTGGTTTTATAGATTATTTACAAACGTATTAAGCATCTGTGATATACTTTAATGTTAGTTTCATCAACTATTTATGAAGTCACTTTCTATATAAGTCAAATCGGTATTAGACTTTTTCTGTTCGGAGATGAAATTTTAAAATGTAAGGGAAAACGACCAAAGAGAGATTTAAATTGAACAATAGCATTAGAACCATAATATTGATAGTAAACAATAAAACGTTTTTCCATCTTGTATTTATCTGAATACATGGTGATTTTTACTTCGATAAACACATTTGTTTCCTGTATAAACAATAAAAATAAACCACAACATACAATTAAATTGATCATCTTTTTTCCCAATGTATATCAATTACACATGTTCAAATCGGTACCATGTTAAGATATTTACGTACTGAATATAAAATATTGATCAATAACCTTTAAGTATTTATGGAGAAGATGAGAAATGGAATACTCTTAACCTAAAGAAAAAGCTTGACTCTACTGAACTGCAGAGAAGCGACTCGACTCTAAGACTTGAAACAGAATAGACCTAGAGAAGAAGCTTGACTCTGCTGAGCTGCAGAGAAGCTACTTGACTCTAATAATAATAATAATAATA